AAGTAAAATAATAATGTCATTTCTGATTTGACTGTTTGTAAATCTGCATGTGCAATGTATTCCATAAGGACTCCTACTAAAGGATGAAGAAGAATGGGAGTAACTTACTTGCATCTAAAATATCAAAAAATAGAAATCACAAGTCCTTTCTTGAAAACATTGTTTATTATGGAAAGAAACAGTTCTTTTAAATCTCCAAAACTGTTTCTAATAATGTGAAATAATGCTATTAATGCAGAATTCCTGTACTTGCTATTATGTTACTAAAATAAATACAGTACTCCAAATGTCTTAATGGTGCTTTATATTATAGTACTTCTATTTACTAAGAATGTGATATTCCACCTTCAATAGCAATTTTGTTCCTTGTTTCTGAACTGAATATAGCTCATAATTATATCTCTTATCAATGTCCACTTCACTCATAAGATTAGAAAATGTTGACACTGAGAATGGCAGAACTATATCCTATTTATTTCATCTCTTTGTTTTTTTTAATTTTTGTTCAGATTTATTGTCAAAAATTATCTCTGTGCGCCTTTATATTAACAGTATTTTTATAAGTCATAAGTTGTTGTTAATATAATAGAAGAATCTTATTTTTATTTATTCCCTTCCCCATACAAATGTTTTTTGAGTGCTACTCTGCTTTGATCTTGGTTTTTTTATATATATCTTTGCTGTGTTGTTTCCAGTATAAAAAGGAAATGTTCTCAAAAATAGAATTGGGAAGTGGCCATACACTGAAATAGAAAAAGAGAAATAACCTTAATATAACTGTTTATGGAACCCATATATTTCTCCTTTCATGTACATAAATTATACTGGGGTAGTAAAGTAATTCTGAATGAGATGCAAGCAGGAATGCTAATTCTAAATAGCAACGTGAATACAAACTACTATGTAATTTTAATGTTACTAAATTTAATAAATAAAACTAAAATGTAAAAACCAGAATGCCAATGAGTAAGCAATATAAAAGGAGTACACTGAGATAGTTCAGACATATAGTAATAGTAATAAAGTTGGAAGGGACCTTGAAGGTCATTGAGTCCAACCCCCTGCTCAGGCAGGAAACCCTACCGTTTCAGACAAATGGCTGTTATAGAGGAAATGAATGATAATCAATTGCAAAACAAACAAAAAACAAAAAAAATCAAAGGAAGAGTAAATGGGAACAAAGAAATTATGATTGGAGGGAGCTATTTAGTTCCTCAAAAAGAGAGAAGTGGGAATTTTAATGAACAAAAGGCAGCATATGAAGTAGTATATGTACATAAGTAAAAATGTTTGCAGATATGTATGGAGAGATATAGTGACTGGTATGGGTGTAAACCAGATTTGTTTTCTTTTTTAAAAAACTCATACCACTAATTTATTTGGCTTATTATTTTTACTTGCAATCTATACTTGACATAATGTAATGGGTATGTATGTACATATGCATAAAATTGATGATTGTGACTTTATTAATTTGAATCTTACCTATTTGCATCCTCACATGCATACTGCAGTAACATAAGAAATAATAATAATCTCTAATTTTAAATACACTTTATAAAAAGCTAAAAAAAACCCACTATAAATGATTCTGGGGAAAATCTCTTAATGGGACAACCGTTAATGATGTGCTGAAGAAAGTTGAAGGACTCAACCTATCAGTTTGCCTACCACACATTGAACACACAAAATCAGGACATCAAAATCAGGACTCACAATCGATGCAGGGTAGAGTCTGGAAATAGAGACAGTATTATGGGTATTGTTTTCTGCTGTCCTGAGTGATAGAAAGTCCGTTATACCAGAAGTTGGAAAATGCCCTGAAAAGTCATCTAGCATAACTTACTATTTCAAGAAAAGATCAACAACAGTGAGAAATCTAACTCATTACTAAACTTCAATGAATGATGTCCCTGAAGAATGTAGTACAAAAGCAAATTCTTCATGCTGTAGCCAAATTTTATGGTCTCAGTTGCAAAAGGAATACAACTGCCAAATTAATAACAACAAACTGTGTCATGGTCAACCAACAATCACCAAGCATCTGCTTCTTGTGTCACATCTGCAAACAGCTACAGGAAACCACTTCTAGTTACAGTATGTTTCCTTTTGTATTGCTTAAGCTGATCTGTTTTAGGAAGAGAATGCACATTTAGAAAAAGGAAAAAACAGATCAGTTAGACTGTTAAATCTTTTTGCAAATTTTCTCCTCCCTTTTACCAGAATCTGTAAATTGTAGCCTATGGCTGAGGAAGATTAAGATTTTTTTTACTAAGAAAAGGAGTAAATAAGAAAGGGCTTAAACATTCATAGAAACGGAAATACTATTTGTTGGCATGAGGTCTCCATTTAGGAAGTGCAGCTTTCAGCACAAGTGAGTATATTGCAAACCTTTTTTCAATTTGTCTCATTAACAAGCTGCACACTAATTAGTGCATTGTGATGTGCATCTATGTAAGATTGAGTTTTTCCTGAAGAATCTTCTGGAATAATTCTGCTATCAATAGATTTTATCAGGCTATTGAAAGTATGGGATTATAACGCTTCACTTTTTCCCAGCTAAGTGTTTATTTAGGCTTTTGGACACACTAAAATATGTTCTCTTTCATGCTAAAGAAAAACTAGAACATTGCTTTTTAAATGTACATTACTATTAACAGGCTTTGTAAATGCATTACAGAACATTCAGGCAATAGGAAGAACATGAATTTAATTTGCCTTGTAAACTGCCTGTAGAAATGTTACTAGAATTGTTCTTTCTTTTAGCTAACAGCCAATTATAATAATAATTGCATTATAAATATATAAAACTCCAAGGGGTGATAGAAGTGATAGCAGGATAAAAAAAAAGCTTGATTTGTGAAAGCATTTTGCTGTACTACTGTTGATTTATGTTAATGAATAAATAGACTTACAACACTATAAAAACTAACAAATTTTTGCACAAGCTTTAATTTATTCCACTTCATGGAGATTATACTGTACTGTATTATCTGACAAAGCACTCTATAATCACAAAATGTTATGCTATAATAAATTGGTCCATCCTTTAGGTGTTAAATGTAACATTGTTAAAAGTAATGGAAAATAATAAAAGGATTACCCCTTAGAAATGTATTCTAATATGCTAGCCAGAACTCGTCCATTCACAAGCTCTTTTCCTGGCATTGTATAAATCTAGGACTTACATAAGATTGTGCTTCACGGTGCAATATAGGATCTGACTTTTATGACTGCCAATGTTTGAAATTTGTTAATTTTATTACACACCTCTCTTGATACCAAGAAGTGAGAGTTCAGTGGTCTTTCAATCTAGGATTACATATTCCAGATGCAACCAATTCTTAAAGATTCCACCCCCAACACATGTATTATTCTATATTTACATGCATATAAGTATGTGTTTATGTGAACTATTTATTTTTAATTCATTTCACAACAACTATATGAGCAATGTAAAAAACCACAGGGCCTGGACAATTGCCCACTAATATTAAATAACTACTGATTAAAATAAATATAACTAGCTGTGTGTAAGATGAAGGATGTTAGCTATCCCAGTAATTGATTCCTATCAAAATATACCAGTTATTCTTTCTCTCTGGGAGTGTCTGCTTTTATAGCAATATTATGGGCACCATCTTAACTTTTTTTAAACATTTCCTGCAGATGCTACTGTCTTTTTCACACTCAATCCATTCTACACACAGGCTCACCCAAGTGTACACAACTATCTACTTCCTCTTCTCTTCCCAGCAGGAGGAGGGAAAAGGGAAGGGTAATCTGGATGTAAGAGGAACTGTCTAGTTGATAGGAAGGGAAGGGAAGGGGGATGAGGAGAGAAGACTGCTAACTGAACATGTTAAGAAAAAAATGGAAAGAAATCTTATATTCTTAAGAAAAATGTTTAGGTCAACAGACAAGCAACTCCTACTACAAAGTACTTCCCATTATTCATCAATTGGTCCACAGTTAGTTGCATTTCCTACTGATTTGCCTACTCATGCTAAAAGCTCTACCAGAAGTCTTTGAATGCTAGCTGATTAATTTATATCTAATTTAGGTGACCAAATCTGAAATACAAGCAAGGAAATATGCTTACTCCCCAGCATCCCTTGGTGACTTCACAGTTTTCTCAAAATGTGTGGGTCCAAAATTCAGTGGTCCTTTTGCATTTTTAAGAATTAAAGGAGTTAAAAGGAAATTGTTACATTAAGATTTGCAGATGTTAAGGCATCCTTTTCAGTCTTTGAAGTTCTTGTAATGTCTCCACCCACTTTCAGTGTGTGAACTTTGATGTGCCATTCAAAGCCTGGAGTGAACCTCAAGTTGAAGCTTGCATCTCTGATATTGGTTAAAACTGTTCTTGGTATAATGAATAATTTGACTTGTCAACATGGAAAGACATTGCAATTAACATATGAGCACAGAATAGTAATGCCATCTGAAGACAAATACACATTGTTGCAGGTTTACCAAGACGTTGATTTCTCTTCCTTTATTTATTTATGGTTTATTTAGTTTTGGTTTAGTATGCTGTATAACCTATTCAACTGCTTGGTAAATCATCAATTTTTTTTTTGCTTTAGTGAAGAAACTGGTTTATTAGTAAACAATGATTATGATTTACCTTACTATGTCAAACCCAACTGGTAGATATGAATGTTGAGAGAAGTAATTGTGAAAATTTCTGCTCATCATATCTACAGCCACTCCTCCCTGCCCAAGCCAGTTGTCCCACTTGCCAGGTGCCTGGTACACTTCTGTTTACAGAAGCAAGATGAGCCATTGCTGGAAATGCAGAACTTGCCACCTCTTGTTCTTGCTTCTCTGCTTCATATTATTTTTTTCCTCTCTCATTTGCTTCACCATGTGCTTTTTCTTCCTCTTTGATTTTGAGTATTTGTAGCCCATTTCTCACCATCAAAGGTGACACCAGCCAGAGCATAGAATAACTCAAAGAAGTAGTGCAAGATCAGAAGACATGGAGAGAGCTGGCCCATAGAATCACCAAGAATTGGACATGGCTGAATGGACATCATCATCAACCCACTTCTGCACATATTCTCAGCTATAAATCTCATTGAATTCAATAGAGTTGATTCCCAGGTAAATATGTTTCTCTAATTTCTGAAAATATCTTTTCTTGGTTATCCTTCCTTATTTCTCCTGTTCTTTTTTCTTTTCTACTATATTGTTTAGAACCCTATACAGGTAGTCCTCGACTTACATCCATAATTGAGCCCCAAATTTATGTTGCTAAGTGAGAAATTTGTTGAGTTTTGCTCCATTTTACGACTTTTCTTGCCACATTTGTTAAGTGAATCACTGCAATTGTTAAATTAATAACTCCATTGTTAAATGAATCTGGCTTTCCCATTGACTTTGCTTGTCAGAAAGTCACAAAAGGTGACCCTGGGACATTGCAACCATCATAAATATGAACCAGTTCTCAATCATCTGAGTGTAAATCACATGACCATGAGGATGCCGCCATTGTCCTAAGTGAAAAATGATCATATGTCACTTTTTTTAGTGGCGTTGTAACTTTGAACAGTCACTAAACAAATTGTTGTAAGTGGAGGACTACTGTATTAGTTCTCTTTCTATCTGTTTAAATGGTATATGTTGTTTTCCTTTAGTAAACTTTTTTTCCATCAAAAACATCTGAATCCTATATAATTAATAAAAAAGAGTGAATGCTGTCTGGTGTAAAATCACAAGTCAAGGGATTGGATCTTTCCAAAATGAAGTGATTGGGGAGTTTGGGAGCCTAACAATTCCTGGGAAATTCCATCTTTGACTGTGAAGACTTATAGTTCCCCCTTCAGAGGAAGTCTGCAATTTGCGAGGTCTCCTAGACTCACAGATTCTGCTTGAAATGCAGATAGCAACAGTAGCCAGGAGGGATTTTGCATAGTAACATCTTGTGCACCAATTGTTACCCTTCCTGGACTACAAAGTCGTGCTCACAGTCACCCAGGCCCTAATAATTTCCCATGTGCAAGGCAAGCTACATGGAGCTGTCTTGAGGAACATGAAGAAATTACAGTGATTGCAGAATGAAAAGTCCCAAGCCGTGTAACTCACTGCTTTGGAAACTGTACTGGTTACCAGTTGGTTTCTGAGATGATTCAAGGTGTTGATTGTCATATTTAAGACCATAAATGACTGTTTATTTAGGAACCAATTTCTCTAATTACTTGGTGGAGTCCTGGAAGCATACATTTTCAGTAGCTGTCCTCACTCTTTATAGCTTCCTCCTAGTAGAAATTCACTGTCATGTCTCCTAGGCTTCAGAAAAACTTTGAAGATTGACCTGTTCAGTCTTGCACAGAAGGAAAGTAATCCTGATTTGAAGGTGAGGTTGCAAACAAATGTATTTTTTTAGTTTTGTTTAGTTTTGTTTTAGTTTTAGTATTGTTTAGTTTTTTAATTATTTTTCGCTTAAATGTACTTGGGGATTTCTAGGGAGTGTTTATATGTTTGTATTGTGAACTGCCTAGAGCCTGTGGGAATGGGTAGCCTACAAATAAATCAGTCAGTTAATAATTTACTGAATAAATTATTAAAAACTTTGTTGCTGGCTATGCTGCTGTGAGGAAAATTCCAAAAAAATGAGACCACCAAGAAAATTGTCAGGACTCTTATAATTGATAAGGATATATTAAAATGGTCCTAACAGCTTTGGAGATTCACACACACACACCCACAGGGCATCACAGCAAATCTGAGTTGTGGGGAAGTATGTATAATCCATGGAAGTGATTGACAAAGAAATTGCTTTTCTTGGGCAAATTTTATAGCCCTTCAACCTCTTCACTCCCAGAGTTGGGTGCAAGTTTAGGCACAAGGGAGGGATATATATTAATGAAGATTAAATGTCTAGCACCCGGCTAAGAGAAAAGAGGGAAACAATTATAGAATTGGGGTTAGAACAGGAAATTTGTTATGTTGTTGCTTGTGAGATTAAATGAAAGAGCTAGCTTGTCTTACTTTCACTGATTTGGCTGTACTCCAATTTGGATATATAAAAGTTTCAAATATACTAAAATGGCTGGGGGCAGGGAGTTTACAAAAATGTCAGAGTAGGTGTGAAGTGAAAAGTTATCACTAAACTGAAAAATTCTTCATGCTGATTTAGCTGTTAGTTGCTTTCTCTTTCTTTTTTTCTTTCAAACTACATCTATTATTTTTAGTGTTAAGACCCTGCCACTTTCAACAAGGTTTCCTGGTTCTAATATAAACATACACCCATGAAAGTCACCATAGTTTCATATAAAGTTTCAAAACTGTCTTTTCTCTTTATCCTTTTCTATTTACCACTCAGCAATGTAAATACAGGATTTTGCAATCTCTTTTGTCTTTCTAGTTCCTGGAAATACTATAAAATTCTGGATATCTGTTTGAATATTACATATTTGCAATATTTTCAGGAAATGTATAACTGGCTTGAAGCCGTACATTTTTTTGCAATTCCTATACACCATCAAAATTCATGTTTCAGTGCAGGTATTGTCTTATGAGCCATACCCCCTAATAAAGTGCTGTATGCTTAAATCACATTTTGGAAAGGATACCATGAAGCATTGACTGTCTCACTGCAAAACATGGCTATATCCTCTAATAGATAAAAAAAATACTGGATGAGGTGTACAGAAAATACAAGCTGATTGTATTACATTCTGGTACAAATTATATATGGAACAAAACACACTATGAACCTGTATTTGAACAACTTTGGGTACTGAAACATAGAATTATTGGATTTTTAAATCTGTTCATTAATATCTAACAAAGTATATTCTATCATGACGCATGGTATTGTCCTTTGAGATCTATGGATAATATTGACATATCATTTTGTGTGTTTCAGCATTCTGAAGATATGGCATCTCACTATAAGAATCTGCTCACAGAATGAATACAATCTACTTTGGTTTTTCTAGACTTTATCTACTTTGAAAACAATCTAATAATACCTGAGTAAAGGATTTAGCTCCAGTTATATCATCCAGCATGATGATTTTTATTCTATCAAAGACGCTAAACTAGCAGTTCAAACTGAACTGTTGGAGTGAACAATGATGTGTAAGAAGAAGTTGTGGATTGCTCTGGCCTTATGCGTTGCACTTTCCATCTGGAAGATATATATTTCTGTTTCACTTTTGTCAAAAAGTCTTGATGAGTGGCTAGTGCAAGACTCATTCATGAAAGAGGAAATATGTCACCATAACAGATGCATTGGCCTAAGCCGCTGGGATTGGTTTTGTGACCACTTTGATGCCTCAGTAAACTGCCTGCTGATTCTTGAAAACTCTGATATCCCACCAGAGGTTCTTCAGTGGTGGCTAGTGAGTACTGCATCATATTACTAAGCGAAACAACTACGGTATATCTATTTAGAGAAAAGAATTGGAAAGAGTATTATTCTCTCCACTAAGCAAAGTGTTGGTCATGTGTAGTACTTGTTCAGATTTGTCTTTCAGTGGAAAATAAATGATAGAGACTTATTTTAGCATTTTTTCTTTGAGTTCATTTTAACTAAGACTGAGTATAGCAAAAGCACTAAAGTCCAATAGAGTGAACATTCACAGTCTTCATATACTATATGTAAAACATATTTTACACAATTTGCCTTTTGCTTGCTTTTTTTCCTGCACTTGTCAAAAACCTGGCTTCTCTTCTTTCCTCTTTTTGAAATATCTAGATTGCATTATCTTTTGCCAAGATGGATGAAGAAAGATAAGACCTGCTTTTGTTTCCTAACTGTAGAGAAACCATTCATTGTCCATTTAGCCAACAAGCTCCCTGAATGTTGTTACAATCTGAATTGCATCAACATAGCATGGAATGAGCAGACTTGGCAATGAGCAGGAATATGGGAGTTAGGGTTGAACAATGTGTAAAGGGCCATAGCCTCCCTGTCCATAATGTACATTATCCGAGTCAGCCAGTTTGGAAATCTTCAAGTTGTTCTTTGGTTTCTTTTAACCTTTCAGCTCTGTTCTCATGTCTTATAATGTATCTAAGGTATAGAACATTTTTTCTGTTTAGGACTACACTTGATGTTTGATGTTTGAGTTATATTAAAAATTAATTTTTATTTTCTCTAATGGATATTAACTAGAAATTAACTAGACATATCTACTGAAATGTTACTTTCCATATATTTAATGTTTCTCTGCTTCTGTGTCATTAATCATTACCATTTTATGAATACGTTTTAAGTAAACCCCAAATTAACCAATCATGATTAAGAAAGAAGGGTAAATCTATAAGACCAAGAAAACCATTTGGTAGGGAAAGATCAGCACTGCAATGAAAAATGATAAAGAATTTGTTTCTATCATATGGATAAATTGATTCAATATTTTAAGTTGCTTAATGCACTTGAACCATACTTTTCAGATAGGGAATATTTACATAACGTATTAGGCTAGAATGTGACTGGCTGGTTTTTGGTTCAGTAATTGCTCCAGGGCATTGAGGCTACACAGCTGTATCTTATTCCATGTTTGTTAAAGAAATAGTGATCATTTTTCATGGTCCTACAGATATAGGTCCCACTTTTGAAATCAGTATTGACCAGTGTAGTCCAGAGGTATCCAAAGGGTCTGTATTTCTTCCCCAAAGTAGATCATTTTCTTGGGCAAGTGTTATTGAAAGTCCCTCCAGCCTGCTTCTAATGCTCTATTTTATTTCATCAGAAGCTACAAAGATCAAAAGATGGCAGCCAATTTCAGATGATAGTAAAAAATCTGTTTGACCTCCTTCAGCCAGCTAGAGTTCAGGATGTTGTTCACTGTGGAACCTGTGCTGTGGTGGGAAACTCAGGAAGGCTCAGGGGCTCTAAATATGGGGAGAAGATAGATTCTCACAAGTTTGTGATGAGGTAAGTAGAACAGAGCATATACACAAAGAATGAGAGATCTGCAGCCCTCAATTTAGATTCAAAAGACACACCACAGATTGGTGCAGTCCTCTCCCAAGAGTGATATTTTCGTATTTCATTCTTTTTTTTATTGTTACATCAACTAGTTTGACTGCCCTAAAATGGTAGGGTGTTGGGATATTTACGCCATGTTTGATTTGATTCAAAGGCGGTGTTTTGAATATGCAGGGCTATGAACTCAGCATGTCTCTCTGATTTGTTAAAGCAGTAGCAGGGATAAAAGTATTTTCCATGATCACACAACTCTGTTGGGATCCAGGATAAGATGACATTGTATTAATGAGTCACAGACAGAAACTGCATTCACTTTCTGAAGCACTTTGAATCTGAATTAAACCTCAAGCATTGCACAGCCTAATCCTCCAAATTAGAAATAAAGATTATAGGAATAGTAATCTTGCTCCTTTCTTTGGCATCTTTGTTAATTTTGCCAATTTTAATGTTAATATTTATTATTCTAATATTTTAATGTTTTATCTTGTTGCTTTTTACTTGCTTGTATGCCTCCTAGAGTCGCCTCTAGGTGAGATGGCGGCATATAAATTTAATGATGAAAAGTAAAAATCTTTTAAAGTCTATTATAGAAAAGATGTGATTTCCTCTATTGACAGTATGTGGCCATCAGCAAATTGACAATGAAAGAATGACCATTATCATTTTAAAAACATTTTTATCCTGATAAATGATCCTAAGTTGCTGCTATGATCAGATATTATAACTGGTTATTGTGAGACTCTATTGTCTTAGGGAAGAAAAAGGGTCTTTGTGGGCCAGGTATAGAGATCTCAGTCTACATCCAGTTGGGGGTTAGAAAATCCCCATTTCTAAGGGTAGGTGGTATACATTTTGTTATATAGATGCATGGAGCAAGTCTGAATTTTTTAAAGCCATGAAATTAATAATAATAATAATAATAATAATAATAATAATAATAATAATAATAATAATAATAATAGTAATGATAAAGTTGGAAGGGACCTCGGAGGTCATCTAGTCCAACCCCCTGCTCAGGCAGGAAACCCTATACCATTTCGGACAAATGGTAATCCAGTTTCTTCTTAAAAACTTCCAGTGTTGGAGCATTCACCGCTTCTGGAGGCAGGTTGTTCCACTGGTTAATTGTTCTAAATGTCAGGAAATTTCTCCTTAGTTCTAGGTTGCTTCTCTCTTTGGTTAGTTTCCACCCGTTGCTTCTTGTCCTGCCTTCAGGCGCTTTGGAGAATAGCTTGACTCCCTCTTCTTTGTGGCAGGTTTAAAATTTGCCCCTTAAAATCCACCCCAAATCCTAAATTCTCTTGAGAGCACAAAAGGCATGCTACATGCAGCTTATCTTCTAGCACACAACATATATTATCCTATTTAAATCTATCTTAAAAAGTGATAACCACATGAGGAAATAGATAAATAGGCTCAAGTTAATAAAGCACATTGAATATCATATAGGTGATATCCATAACTTTATCTTAGATCCAGGTTTTGTATTTAGTAAATTTACCGTAAGTAATGATTTTTCCTATGTGTGTGACCTAGGTATCTTGAATAAGAAGATTCTCATTAGTTTTTTTTTTTAATATTCTCCAAGAATGAACACTGCACAGGTTACAGGTTTTGAGGAAGATGTTGGTACACGAACCACACACCATTTCATGTACCCAGAGAGTGCTGTGAATCTCCACCCTAATGTACATCTTGTACTAGTCCCTTTCAAACCCCTGGATCTCAAATGGCTTGCCAGTGCTCTTTCAACAGGAGATATCCAGCAGTAAGTATCCTCCCTAAGTAGATGCAATATAAAAGGCTGGGCAATTACATAGTAATGTCATGCTAGCAAGCATTCCTAGTGCTATTAGAATATCAAGCATGATTCCATTCTTGGATGGCAAACATATTTCTCACTATATCAAGTATCTCTTTGTCATTATCATTTATTAAAGAAATTTCCAGTGAAACTAATTTTTCATAAATGGATTTCAGTCTACCAACCAGAGGAACAAAAATAAAATTATGGTTAAAATCAGAAGTCTCCTTATTTGGGGCTACCATAGACTAATATAGTTCTCTTTCTACAATGTTGATTAAAAGAAAATCAAATAATGTTGAATGGTAAAGAGTCTTCCATTCTTTTCACAGAACATACAAAAGAGTTAAACGATTTATTAAAGCTGATAAAAGCAAGGTAAAGTGTAAATGAAAAAAAAAGTAATAATGCATTTATTAACTATTACAACTCTTTTTATTTTTTGTGGATTAAAAATAATCAGCATTGAAGTCCCAACTTCATAAAGTGTATGTATTGTTTTATATTTATCTTATACATTAAATGCATAATATTTCAAGCTGATAATATTCCTTGCTAAATAATAAAATATGGGAGGCAGAAGAAAAAAAGTTATGGAGGCCACCGTACACATTAACAGTCAAAGCAAACTTGTACTAGGAAAGGTCCAACTAGGAATCTCTTAGGAATATGAACTGTTCTCGTTCCAGGCTACAGGTGTGGTATTTTGCGGTACCTTGGCCCTGAAACCATGGAATAACTGCACATACTGTCAGGGGCCGATGTGTCCAGGGAGAGGGGATCACCCATTCTACTTTAAGGCCTAGGGAAAATTTAAAAGGACTTTTCTTGCTCTGGAGTTATTCTTATAAATAAATGGATCAATTTGAGGAGGGATCTATGATCAATCTGGGTGACTCTTGTTTTGCAAAATTATCTTCTTAGATTCTAATAATTCACCCTGTTTTCCTGAAATATATCCAAGACAAATGGACATGGCATCATGGAAAATATCCTTCCACTGGGTTGATTACACTGATTTTTGCCATCCATACTTGCACACAGGTAAGTGCTGTAGAAAGAACCACCCCTCTTAACTCTGTAAATCAGGTGCCCCCAACCCCTGGGCTACTGCCCAGTATTGAACCACAGCCCATTGGGAACTGGACCGTGCAAGTGGCGGGCCACCAGGTGAGTGCGCGAAGTTCCAAGGGAGCTTTGCAAGCATTCCCCCTGCTTGTGCAGAACCATTCCCTTCCCTCTCCCCACCACCTTCGCCACTGGTCTGCAGAGCCAGAGAGTTTAGGGCTGGCTGCTGTAAAGGGGTTCTGAGCTAAACGGCTCTTGAATTCCTATTGCTTCACTAACCACTTTTAGCTCTGTTCCTAAAACAATTTCTCTTTATTTATTTAGTAATATAAATCTTGTTGGGAAGCTACTAAATGGCAGGTTGTATGTGGCCAATTGATAGGACACTTTGTACTTTAATCACCAAAATGAAAAACTATGACAAAAAATAAATTCAACCTACTATTCAACATGAGTTATATTTTAACTACTTGCTGTTTCACTTTCCACTTTGCAAAACCCATATATAACTTTTGAAAACAAAGAGTAAAATTGACATTTGAGGAGGGATATAAATTATGCAACTCTGGCATTTATGTAATGTAATAGACCACGGGTGTCAAACTCGCCGTATCACGTGACATGTCATGACTTTTTTCGCATTGCTGGAGCTAGGGTGGGCACGGCCTCCGTATGATGCCATAGTTTGACACCCCTGCAATAGACTATAGTGAGACAGGCAACCTAATACAGCATTTTTGATGTTTTCTATTTCAAAGCTCATCTATTCTGTCCAGCATGGCAATGACAATTACACTGCAAGTAATGTAATTCAAAACATATAACAGGGATTAGGTGTCTGATCTCTTCAGTAGATGTGTAACGTTTAAGTTTTTTGCAGACATTTACTGTTTTCTCACTTGCTCCTATATGTGGTAGGTTTCTGTCTTTGGCTTTGGTGCAGACAGCAATGGGAATTGGCATCACTACTGGGAAGACAACCGTTATGCAGCAGCCTTTCGCAAGTCTGGAGTACACGATGGCCCTTTTGAGCTACAACTCATTGAAAGGCTGGCAATTGAAGGCAAATTGGCATTCTATAAATAGTTTACAATTTAAGATGGTTTAAATTCTCTCTGTTCTGGTTTCAAAGAAAAGCAAAACTAGAATAAAACACAAAAAGAGGAGACATTTCGGTTTGTTTAATGCACTAAATATTAAAAACATGAGTGACATGGTTCTGCTTTTCTGAATTTACGTATTTTAGAACAACAGAGACTATAAACACTATTTGTTACTAGCTTCAGATTTTGCTTCTTTCTCTGAGTATGAAACCACAGACAGAACCATTCAGATTTGCTAGCTGTGTTTTTGACAGCAGAAGAAATTGGAGCACCAAAAGTAGCACCAAAAGAAACATATTTCTGATTATTTTCATAACAGGTATTTGAATGTGAACTATACCTTTGAATTTGAAAAATAGGCTTTCTGATAATTCATTTTGTGTTTCTCCTTCCCTCCATCACAATGTATAAATCAAGTTCTCAGTAAATTATCCAGATTTTTAATATTATTTTAATATTATTTGAAAATTATTATTTTAATATTATTTGAAAATGATTGCTGGAGGTATGTTTATTAAACTTATACACTACCCATCTTATTGTTTGGAATGATTCTAGATATATATTACAACAGCCATTATTTAGGAATGTCCAATACACTAATTGGCTACTCTACATTAAGCTTCATCAATTCTAGACCCAATATCAAAACACGTACGGAATATTAGCAATAATGAGAAAATTCACATTATTTCTTTTATTTTTTTATTTAAAACTTTATTTAAACAATGGTAAGCCAAGTAGCCAATGATTTGGTTCATAGTTTTCTATGATAGATGATTTTTTGTTGGCATGACCATTTCTATGATTAGAAATATTGCATGATAGCCTTTTTCTCTGTAAAGTAAAATTGAAATGCAGGATAAATCTATTTCACTGGGCAAAAACACACTATTATCTAAATACTTTTATGCTGCTCCAATTAGAAAATGAGTAAATAAATAAAGGGTCTTCTCTCCAACTGCTCTGATGGGTTTTAAGCAGAGAACCTCCCTCTCCACACAATATTTAACCTAATTCCAAAAACCTGGAAAATCCTGACCTGCTCCATTTGTATTATTCTTCAACTCATTATGACTCTTATCATTTCACAAAATGTCAGTGCGGTTCCTAGCCACCCCAAATGTCACTCAGTGCTTCACTTTAGCTACTGCTGCTCTCAAAAAGGATAACATATAAATGATGTGATCAGTAAAACAGCAAAAATTCAGTTACATGATTGTAGACATTTAAGTTAATGTCATGAAGAGTAAAGTGCCATAGTGGTGCAGTTGATATATACTCCCAAGATGGAATAGAAAGCAGTGAGGAAACTATTTTTACATTAGGTTCCAAAACATTTGGCCTAGAGTAGGCATAAATTCAATAGGTCATCATTATCACAACCATAAATAATCGCCTTACCTGATCAATCGTCACAATGATTAATGAACAGGATACTTCCATCAGCTGGACAGTGAGATGAAGAATGAGATACTGCTAATACATATATGAGGCATTGGGGAAACAGTTATGAGACAAGAACCAGTAATTTCACATGGTATTGCAAAATATTCTAATCAACTTTAGAAAATGAATAGCCAAAGATGAAGATCATGTGACCTATTGCAGAGTGTGGTTAGAATTAAAATATTACATACCAATGAAGAGGGAAAAATGGCTGCCATAAGCAATATTTTTGGATATAACAACTCTTGATACTACATAAGCAAGCTTTAAAAAAAGTAAATTATCACATCACTTTAGTAAAACTTTTTCCTGAGAATTTATTCCAACCACACATTTTACAGTATCACTAAATACAAATTAAATTAGAAATAACTAGTTTTAGACATATACAAGTTCTTATGGTCTATATTCTGGATGACACTTTTTTTTGGAATATAGAAACTGAAATATATGCCAACAGATTAAGGTGAATATTAAAACAGAAATGTTTTAACAGCCACAGACATTGATGTTTAAATTTAATCCCTGTTTTACTTGTCCCAGGACTAGAATGTCAGTCTCTTCTCAAAGTTCCAATTATCTTCACTTGGCACATTGATATTGGACATTGATGTTAGGGTAATTTTTCATTTCTTCAAGTCTTTTAGGAAGGATTGTAGAATCTAATCTATGTAGTTTTTCCAAGTTCAATTTTCTTCTGAATGGCTCGAGCTGAATGATAGATCAAAGAATCAATGAGTCCTGCAACTGAAAGGAGGAAAAGAAGGGTCAGTTTAATTAGCCTATATAGAAAGGAAAGAAAAAAAACACAACTGCAATATTGCTACAAAATAAAAAGAAGCCCCTGGCATTCTTTCCAAATTCTACTCTTATGGTATAATACATTCGTAACCATGTCAATTTAATCTTGTTGAATCAATCAGGAGTTATACATTTTCAAAAGCTGTATAGTAAGTAGAAGCCACAAATATTACTCATTAATAATCGCAACTGTCAAATTTTCCCTATTTCTCATTTTATTTCCAATGATAATGGCAATTCTGCCAACTTGTAAATTATAGAACTGATTTGAAAATGCCCTGAAAGTATGATATATTGATCAAAAACATTTACAAACTAATTTCCAGATTCAAAATGAACAGAAAACTATTTAAATTTCTGAACACAAAAATCCAGTTACCTGTAAACACTCCTCCAATAATGGCACAGACGCCTGTGAGAAAATGTGTAAAGGACCTGGATTTGGAAAAACATTAATATGAATTTACATTCTGAAGGCAAAAATTGAAATCAGTGAGAGAATTGTTTTATTAAAGCCATTTCATTAATTACATTTATGATTACATTTATACTCAGACAAAAGTCAGATACTTTCAGCTTGGATCTGTTGATTTCAGAATATCTTCCAGAAACCACACTTATTATCAATCTCTATGTATCACACATTTAACATAAAACATGGCTTCTACAGACACGTTAAATGAAATTTCATCTGGGGGGAAATTAGCTGGTTTTTTGCTTCACACTCATATTGAGAATCTCTCACCTGTGCTTCTCTGTAAATTTCACCATCATGGGAGAAAGCTCATATAGCACAAACACACCAGGTAGGCCTTGATCTCCAATTAGTCCATTAGCTATTTTTTCATGCCTTGTTACTGAAAATTGATTTGTCCTCACCATCTACAAAAATGTTGAAATAGCTGATTAGTGTCAGGCACCATCCAAACTGAAGAAAAGAAAAAGAAAAATGCAGCTAATTGTGTATGGCTTTGTGTATTCTTCAGGTAGAAGCATTGTTAAGTACATGTCACTCATTTCTCTTTTAGGTATGCCAGGAGATTGCAACCATAGTAACAGTGACCTGCAATCCAACTATCTCCTTTCAAAAATATCTGTGATTCATATTTTGGAAGATCCTAGGCCCACTATTCATGGCTTAATAACAAAATGGAATTGTTTAGTAGAATTGCTTGCAATTTTCTATCTGGTATTTATGAATGCTATCTCTTTACTCCCAATTAAATATAGCAGATTACTTCCCGGCAAAAAGGACCCTGCTGAAAATTTCATCCTGTAACCTTTCCACCTGCATTTCTCACAGCAGATTTGTGGGATATATAAAAGGAAGAGAAAACAATACAGGGAGTCCTCGACTTACAACCATAATTTTTGTTGCTAAATAAGACATTTGTTAAGTGAGTTTTACCCCATTTTATAACCTTTCTTGCCACAGTTGTTAAGTGAATCACCTCAGTTATTAAGTAAGTAACACGGTTGTTAAGAGAATCTGGCTTCCCCATTGACTTTGCTTGTCAGAAATTCACAAAAGCTGTTCACATGACACTGGGACACTGCAACCATCATAAATAAAAACCAGTTGCCAAGCGTCTTAATTTTGATCACACAGATACTACAATGGTCGTAAGTGTGAAAAATGTTCATAAGTCACTTTTTCCCATGCCACTGTAACTTTGAACGGTCACTAAATGAATTGCTAGAAGACGAGGACTACTTGTAACAAAATCTGAATAAAAGACTGTTTTAATGTTGAATTTAACCAAATTGAAAGAAAGTACTTAAAACTATTTAAAGAAAAGACAATATTCAGCTCTTACCTCACCATCAACTTTCATGTACACAGTGGGGACTACTTTTACAAAATACTGGAACATCATCGAAGCTAAAAGCCAAAATAAAATCATAATGGGTATGGGTGAAACAGAATTGTGTTTTGAACCCAGTACAAATACTGTATGATGTCGAATGGCTCTGCTGGATTGTTTTGGATTAAATATAGTTCAGCAGAAAAAAAAATCACTTTGGTTGTTCCAACTTCAAGCTGAAATAAAATTGGAAGAAGTCCCAGAGTGATTTTACAGGGCACAACAAAGCTAATTTGCATCACCCCATTTTTCATCGCATATATATTGTTAGCCACCCCATCACCCAACACCTTTCCTTCCCCAGCCACGACACATTGCCATCACGACACTTTGCATGCCACTGCAAAGAAATCCCTCACTGCCAGGGATGTCCACATACATTATTGGCAAAGAAAACCAAGAGTGACTTTTCCCCTTTTTCCTCCTCAAATCATTTCTAACTGGAAAATGCATTCTGGGCCACTGTATCTGGAACAAAACACCTCCATTGTTCCATACAAGGACTCAAACAATTGAAACATTTTTCTATGGGCTGAATAGCTCATGCCAAGTATAAGTAACCAAAATTGACTGAGTAGAACTCAACCAGTAATTTGGTAGGCATTAATAGAGTTGGGCATGAAATCCACTGGGATCTTATCTTCCTGTTCTCTTTGGACTGCTTGTGAAACTCTACTCAATATCAAAAAAGACTACCACACAACTTATTGCATTGCTGTCTTAGGGAAAAATGCAAATTTCCCTGCAGAATTAAGTATTAACACAAATCCTAATTATTATGTGTGAGTACCTATGTAGCCACCTTCTTCCTGGATGTTTTAAGACTTCTCTTTAATAATCCTGGGATTATTTATAGTCTCCTACCCAAGTATTGATCAGGTATGACCTTGCTTAGCTTTTCTCAGATAAACCAAGATTTGTAGGTGCTGCCACCTACTGTGGACATCTAAAAACTTGGGATGTGCAAAATAGTGTGGTTAATTGCTGGAACATTCTTTGTTCTGCAGAACACTGTTTTTCCCACAAAATGCACAGATCTCAAAGTGTTTTTCAGAATAGGAAGTGGCTTGTAATTGCACACAACTACCCAAAAGTTAAAAGCTGGATTTGTAGAGAAAAACTCAAGAAATGTTAAAACTTCAAGAATCTTAAAAGAGTGACTTAGGATTCAGCAAGAATTTGAAATAGATTAGCACCAGCCATTTTAGGGGTGAAGTTTTATGAATTTCAGTGGGCTCTCAATCATTAAGTTATTTTTATTATTATAACTTGGATCTGCAATTAATAAAACTAAGATGGCATATGAAGAGAGTAAAGTGAGAGGCTGAGGCTAGGAGTCCTTCCTTAAAGTAATCACTCAATAAAATTAACAATTCCTCTCTTTGGAAGGCCTTTTTGTTGCTCTCCCCTTCACACAAATTGAAAAGGTTAGAAGAAATTAAAAGGTGATACTGTAAAGAAGACCATGGAATTAGGGAATATCTATTAAAACCTAACTCTATCCACACTGCTAATGAAAACATGGAGAAAAAAGAGAGGATATGGTTCCATTAGACATATATTCCTTATTCTGAAGTAAAAAAAGGGAGAGAAAGTTGCATTTTTATCGTTCTGCTGAAAAGTTACCAAACTCCAATTTATAATTAAAATGATTAGTTTAGCCAAGGCATATCTATTTTAATTAAGCACCCAACAAAGAGTAAACAAATATTGTGCTGGTTGTCACCTTCATTTACCAGTTTAGATTGAAAGGCTGCTTCAAACCAATACCTTGATGAGCTGTGACAACTGTTCCATCAAGTGGGTTCACAAGGCCTGGATAATCCTTCCCAAATGAAAGATGCCTGATAAAATGTGTTATGTTTATCTGAAACAAGCAAACAAAGTCCCAAAATATCAAGGAGTTGAAGAAATATCACAGATGAAACAGGCTGGAGGCCATTCACAATGCAGGCACCATTTTATATTATGGATGAAATATGACTCTTGTTATTCATCAGTTCCCAGCTAGTGCCTAGGCAGACACATGTATTTCACAGGCTTCCCTCTTTGTGGAATGGAACAACAAGTGTTTAGCACCTGTGCCAGTTTATGCCAGGTCAGAACTGCTAATATTGTTTCCTTCTGTGTTCCTGCGGTGTACATTACCCGAGGGCAGAAGCAGTGCAGCTGTCCCCAGGCAATTATATATCTGGGAACAGCAGCCATAAGAAAGGGATAGGTTGTTTGTGCTCAGTGATCTACGTCCTCTATCAAAGAGGAGAACAATTCTAGCAAAAGGGGAGAGGGATTTTTTAAAGCATGATTTATAATGAATGCATTGTATAATGAACTCTACAACAATTTTCAAATAGAACAATTGTATTATTCCTACAGTTATAATGTTGTTATTCTCTACAGATGGCACACTAATATATGACAAATTATCTACATGTGCACAACTGGTAGATCTCCTATCCCTTTCAATGTAAGTAGAAAGCTCAGATACAAGTTCTCTTAGGGAACTTACATTGTCAAGTCCATAACTCTGAAGATCATGAACTGCAAAAGACAGACAACACATAAAGTTACTGGAGTAAGCCTTTTTGTAGGAGACAATTATGCATTTAAAAAAAAAACAAAAAAAACAAAAAGTTGATTTTTTTTTTAGAATTAGCATTTCTAAGTAAAGATCATGATACACTTTTAAGATGAAATAGTTTAAATAAATAACTTAAATAATTTAACTAAATAAAATAAATAAATAACTCCTCAGTAGTAAACACACACATAATTTTTTTTAAATCTTCCATTATGACCTTAAGCTGTCTTCTCCTCAGCAATTTCACAATCTTTTTACTGTTACTCTTTCTTTTTACTGATGCCTAAACTCATTCAGGATAAATTAAAAAGAAAAAAAAACATCCATGAAATATCCCAGCGTGGTTGTAATTATTCTGTAAATTACTGATTTCAGAAAGAAGACACTTTATTTAAGCAGGATCTACCAAACACATAAACATTCCTCTTTAATATCAAGGGTCTTAAAGAAATATTTAGATATAAATTGGTTTAAACATTCCATTTAGCAACTAAACTCATGAAACATTACTGTAACATAAACTCTTAAGGATTTGATCAAGGCAATATAAAAGAATGTGTCAGATCCAACTAAGCAGAAAGATGAAATGCAAAAGTAATATCTAACTGAAGCTACGTTTGGAAAATCTTAAATAATGTTTTATTTTCAAAATTATTGTTTCTCATATTATGCAGTAGCAAACATAAATACGGTGTATATATGCAGAGGGCATGATAGAACCCTACCATTTATAGCAGGAATTTCTATCCATACTTAGTTGAAAATAGTACACAGCTCCGTGCAAAGTATAAGGTACTTTGTATTTTTTAAATGTGTGCGAAACTGGTTTCAATGATCTATAAAATAGAATGCACCTAAAAGAAGAAACATTCTATTTCATGACTGGGCAAAACAACCCCATTCAAAATGCTCCACTGGAACATTTTAACTTGGCTTTTTTTTAAATTGTGCTATCAAGTTGTTGTTGTAAATTAGGTATCTAGGATATTGATATCTTTACTGTTCAGAATTTCAGTACATTCCTTCCATCTTTCATCTTCTTCAGCATATCAGTTTGAGGTGGAAAGCTTCCTTGATTTTATTTTAGAGTTCTGGTTCCCTGTCAATGAGGTTCAGGACTTCACAGTGATTCCTGGTGTTCTCCTTGAAAACAGTGGGTATATGCTCAAGATCAAATTTTGGAAACTGTTTGACTTTATTCTTCTGGTTTAGCTTGTGTGCAAGTTCTGACTTAGAACTTGCACACGAGCAATTCATGATCTGTTGCGAAGCTTCCAGCCACACTTTTGCTGCTAAAACTGAGTTCTTCCACTTCTTTGTATCAATATGATGTAATGAAGAAATCACTGAGGTGGCAAAAACTGAAAAGTGGTTCTCCTGCTTCACTTCTGTCCCTGAGAATATCTGGCTAGCTACTATTTCCAACATTGGCATTCCTGTCTCTAAGTACAACACATCTTGCTTGCATTCAATTTCAGATTGAATTTGACTATGAAACTGATCAACCCCTCCTTCGGCATCAATGGCTGCAGCATAAACTTGCCTATCATATTAAAGGGCTCTCTGCAAAATCTAATCGATATTATTTAGATACTGATTGCATTGTACCCAAGGAAGATCTTTGCTACATTATTCCTGATCTGAACGCAAAATGGACAGCATTTAATTAATTAATAAAAGCATCTGACTGAAGGTGTCCAATTTCAGTCCATTCAATTCACTAATCTTTGAGATGTCAGAGTAATCGGTTCATTTCGACTTCCACTATATTGAGTTTTCCCATGGCCGTGCCTCTTACCTTCCCCTTTTCCACTAATTTTCTCTTTGTTGCTTCAGATGTTCTTTTCCTGCACAGCAGCAACAGCAACTAGCTATCCCAAGGGCTTTACTTTAATTGTATCATAAACGCCAAATGGCAAAAATAACTCAGCTCTTCTTCAGTAGCATGCCATCTAACTTGAGGATGAATCATCATTCAGCACTGAACTGCCAATCATTTTAAAGCTTAAAATGTTCTGAGAGTTTGAAGCACAAAAAACTCAAATAATGCAATTGATGGGCATTACTTGTACTAAGATCCCTGTTGTCGGCTCATGACAAAAAACTTTTCTCTTTCCCATAGCAAAAAGAAAGAAGAAAATGCTCTAATGTGGTTTTCTGTGGTCAGCCAAGTACATATCTTTCCAATGCTAGTGGTCTGAGAGGGTGCAGTAATCATCACCGGGTCCTTGCTTCTTAGGAGAAATGGGACACGCAAGAAAATTCTCTCCCTCTTCCCCAACAAAAGAAAAATATAACAAGCAGCAGATTGTTGCTGTACAATAACTACCACCACCAAGAGTACAAATTAACACCATCGCCATTATCACTATTGGACTATTTAACCACCAGACCACTTCCTTTTAAATAAACAACTTTATTAGGCTGCAACTTCAAAAGCACTATTGTATTTCGATAAACAAGCTAACAGAACCTGCATCTAAGTTTAGATGCTGACGTTTAATGTCAGAGTGTAAATTTAGCCAGCAAGGTACTAAAACATGCACAAACAAATCAGCCCAATTTCAATTTTAAATGCACTATAAAAACTCAAAAGCTATAAAGCATAACAGCCAAACCCTACCAAACCAATCATACCAACATAAAAATTAAAATACTTGTTTCATTTGTAAAGATTTGATTTGATATTGAGAGATAAATCTATGGGACAAACCTGCCAATTCTATGAGTGATAGGCTTCAATTACTTCTGATATATAAGCTTTATAACAATTCCAATTTATTTCTCTTGGAAAATAATTCATTGTGAGGAGTTGACAAATGATAACATTGATACTTCTACAAAGTTTACCTGAAATCATTGTTTACTATAAATCCTGTCTTCTTCAAAACCATATTTGCTAACTTTGCAGTGGTGTTAAGTCTGGTCTTTATATATATTCTACAGAAAGTTTGAACGGGACCTTACTGAATATATGTAAGCTTCTATAAGAAAAAATGTGTGATTCAATGGATTAGAAAGGATAAATAGCAGTACATCCTCTAAATGTTCAGGGAATTTGTTTTTTAAGAACAGAATTGTCATCAAAACAATCTCAATATTTTAATGGAACATCATAGCCATATAATGCCCATTCCCAGATCCTTGAACCAAAATATCATCCTCAGTTTGGTCAAATCCTTAAGTATTATCAAGCTTTAACAGGAGAAATTAGTCCCCTTCATTATAGACAGTACAGAATTAGCAAATAAAATAAATCAACAAGACTTTAATTTCATCAGCATGCATGCATATTTCCAAATGTTTGAACATTACCTAATTCAGTTAGGACTGCATGTAACAGATAATAAATAATAGATTTACAGAGGTGGTATCCTACTCACTGTATTTTGACTTAATTCTTTTTAGAGAATAAATTCTTAGAAGACAAATAAAGAACCAAAGACTTTTGATAGAGATTTTGTATCTTTTGCAGGCAATTGAAATTAACCATGTCAAACATCAGAAAAATGAATAAAGTACTGCCAAAGAGACTTTCCACACAGGAATGAAAAAGTATAATGGAGAGTAGCCAACACAGAATTTGACTCAACTTTCAAGAAATTATTATACATAGGTTTTTTCATAGATATCAAGTAAATTTGCAAGCTTCGTGCAGAAGCCAAAGCCCTTCTTCCTCTTGAAGAAGATTAGCTTATTTATTCAGTTTTAGCTCACAATCCAACCAATAAGATCTGCAGATTCATGTAGAACATCTCAAGTGCCACATATGAAAAGGAAATAACACATTATATTCATAGCACAATGCATGCCGCAGCTGCAATAAAATTGCTGAGCATATGAAGATCTTTAAAATTACAAACCTAAGGTTTGTTGCTTTAAATTACATATGAATTTTTCAGTCTTAAATATCCAACATTTATTTAATCTAAGTGTACTGAATATGTCGTGTATGTTGACATTTTATTTTTATATGCTGAAAACATATTTTATTAAATCAGTCCTGCAAAAGGAAACAGATGATCATATCATCTGAATGCCTTTAAAATTGTACTTATAGTATTTTCTATACAGAAGGGAATAATGACAAGCAATTATTTGTAAGTATGTGTGTGCGTGTGTGTATGCGTGCACACACATACACACACACACAGAGAGAGATCCTTGCATACTACAACTTTCTTATTCTCATGAAAACAGTACTTTTGAAATGTTTCCTCTTGCTAGTTCTTCTACACTCCATGTATTAGTTATACTGCTAGAGTTCATCACAACTACAGTGCAGTAATTGGACTGATAATATATAAACATCATCGATCAATCAATGTATCCTAAAATTTAAGGGAGGAGGCAGGGAAAGTTTATAAGATATTCAATGCATATGTTACTTTACCATGAACATGAGACTGTTGAAAGCTTTTTCCTGGTGCAAAGTGAAAATTGCCAGCTACCTGTAAGAGAAATACAGATCTCATTCAATGATCTAGTTTTCTATACCAATCAGCATCAGCTTTGAAAAGTGTGTCTTTTTAAATTAAGAAAATCCCTCTTATTTGGATATTTAAAAGGAGCACACATACCTTTGCCTGAAATGGAATCTGAACAGATGCTTCTAACATTTTAAATAAAGCCATATATAAATCCATTTTGTTTTTATTTGTAAACAACAGCTAAATTCAACTTGACAAAGAATATTCTGGGCCTTTCGATATATCAGTCAAAATATAGAGCCCTTATATAAGAATGAGTACTTCATCCTTATTTTAAATGCAAATTATTTACTGAACTGCACGCTGAAAAGAGGCACTGCCTCAAACATATGCCTAACTGTGTTTAAACTCAATACTATTCTTACTAAAGGAGTTAGAGCACATACTCAGAAACAATCCATTCACTGAATAGTAAACAATTATTTCATAGTCAGAGTCTGAATGGCTAAAGATGTGTGAGGTTCTGTCAAAGTCACTTGATTGTTAAGTGAATCTGGCTTGACTGCTTGTCAGAAGGTGGCAAAAACTGAACACATACCCTGGGACACAGCAACTGTCATAAATATGACCAGTTGCTAAGCATCTGAATTTTGATCACCTGACCATGGGGATGCTGCAACGGTTGTAAGTGTGAAAAATGGTCATAAATCACTTTTTTAAATGCTGTTGTAACTTTGAATGGTCACTAAATGAACTGCGAGTCCTCTGGATTGCAAGGCGATCAAACCAGTCAGTCCTAGAGGAGATCAACCCTGACTGCTCTTTAGAAGGCCAGATCATGAAGTTGAAACTCAAGTACTTTGGCCACCTAATGAGAAGGAATGACTCACTGGAGAAGAGCCTAATGCTGGGAAAGATGGAGGGCAATAGAAGAAGGGGACGACAGAGAATGAGGTGGCTGGATGGAGTCACTGAAGCAGTAGGCGTGAGCTTAAATGGACTCCAGAAGATGGTAGAGGACAGGAAGGCCCAGAGGAATGTTGTCCATGGGGTCGCGTTGGGTCGGACATGACTTCGCAACTAACAACAACAAAATGAACTATTATAGTTGAGGACTATCTATACTGAATTTCTACTTAGCATGATCAAACGTTTATACTGGGTGAAATGCCAATGCAGAACGATGATAAAAATTGCCATACTCACTTTATTGACCTCTAAAAATCCATATACTTTGCATCCCTCATTTTTCTGCTCCTGCATTTTCTCGCTAAATCCTTCTCTCTTGCACTGTTCTATAGTATCTGGATTCTTGAAGGCCCACCCTCGCCGCCTGTATGCTTCCCTCACATCATCACAATTATTGCAGCATCTGCCCAAAAAATAAAATGCATAAACACATTAATTAGAAATAGAAAAAAAATCATCATAGTTTGCTGCTATGACATACAGCAGCATTACAAAGCCTGAAAATTATGATTATCAGGGATTTTTTTTCAAAAAGTTAATAGTCCTTTATGAATTGAAAGTAGTATTAGATAGTGTGCTAGAAGTCTGTCACGGCATTTCCAAAGCATATGAAAACTGGGAGAGACAGGGAAAGTTAAGACAGCCATCACAGTAGTACAGGTAGTCCTCAGCTTCCAACCACAATTGAGCCCAAAGTTTTTGTGGTTAAGCAAGACATTTGTTAAGTGAGCTTTACCCCATTTTATGACCTTTCTTAGCACAGTTGTTAAGTGAATCACTGCAGTTGTTAAGTTAGTAACATGGTTGTTAAGTGAGTCTGACTTCCCTATTGACTTTCCTTGTCTCAAAAGGGGATCACATGACTCCGGGACACTGTAACGGTCATAAATATGAACCAGTTGTCAAGTATCTGGATTTTGATCATGTGACGATGGGGATGCTGCAACGATCATAAGTGTGAAAACAGTTATAAGTCATTTTTTTCAGTGATGTAACTTTGAATGGTCAATAAATGAATTATTGTAAGTCGAGGACTACCTGTATTTGGGTAATGATCAGAGACAGAAAATCTGACATCAATACACAACTGTTTTCTAAACCGGGTTATAGAAGCAAATATGTACTGAAATAGCTTATGGTGCAGAGCCTTTTGATTGATGGGCCTGAAAATCCGATTAAATATTATAGGAAGAGTCTCATGACAAAGAGCTTGGGATAGTTTAGAATTTCTTGATTATTCCTGGCTCAGTAGAAAGCATTTCAAAGGGCTAACATACTATGCTGATTGTTTTAGGACAGTGGTGGCGAACCTATGGCACGCGTGCCAGAGGAGGCACTCAGAGCGCTCTCGGTGGGCACACGTGCCATTGCCCCAGCCCCGCCTCCTCCCACGGCCCCCTCCTCACCAGCAGCCCCCCCAGAGGAGAGTCGCCCCGAGCACAGCCTGCGCGGAGCAGCGCATCCAAGGACATGGCAGCCGGGCAGTGGGGACAAGACTCCGCCCTCGTGCCCCATCGTGCACAGTTGATGCTGTGGGGTGCGGGCAGAGGGCGTGGCCACCATGGTGCTGTTGGGACGCCTGGGTAGTAGGCTGTGGAGGCGGTGGGTAGCTCTGCGAGTGGGCGGGGTGGGGTGGGATGGGGAGGGGGCAGAGGGGGACAGGGCCGAAGTGGCGGCAGAGTGGTGGTCGGGTGGGGGCGGTCTTTGGGCACTCGGTCTCTAAAAGGTTCGCCATCACTGTCTTAGGAGCAATATAGTTTAGAATCCTATGGCAAGCGCTCCTACAGAAAGGATAGATTATTTTTCTTCTCGAGATGAGGAATTAAACAGAATTATTATTATTATTATTATTGCTTATATTTATATCCCGCCCTTCTCCTTGCGGACTCAGGGCGGCTAACAACCAGATAAAAAACTACAAAATACCAAAACTACAGTTAAAACATTATTTTATGCTCCCAGGAATGCAGCAGACTTCACATCTGCTAACTTATAGGAACAGGGAATATCAGACCATATTTGAGAGACAACACAAGTATAATAAGTAACTGTTGCAATTAAAAATGTATATATACTTCAAATACCTGGATGTAACCATCCTAAGAAAATAATGCAATAAAAAACTTCCACCCAACAGCTTTGTTTCAGGCAAAACTATTATTGCACAGTTTTTAATCCTATCTGCCTTGGGACCTTATAAGAGTTTACCCTGGAGTGAAATGAATGGTTCAATCCAAATCCAAATTAAGTGGCCGAAACTTCCAGTATTTCAGATTCAATCTGTCTGCTATTACTTGAGAAACATTTCCTACCCTCTATTAACAATGAAAAGCCCAGTAAACCCATATGATGTTCTAGGCAAGAAAACATGGAAGAATATCAGCTAAACTACAAACAGCCACAAGCTTAATCCTTCTTAGTAAGTTCAGAAAATGATGTAGCTATGCAGCTCCCTCCCAAAACCATTTTCTTGCTTCCAAGTCATAGTAAGAAAAGTAAAACCTACTTGATATCCTCGGATTCTGCTCCGTAACAGCTTTCACAGCGTTCAGGATCTAATGAATTTGGATCAAAGAATAGTTCCTCTTCTTTTCCTAACTCTGAAATAAAGACATAAAACCTGTAAAAGTAATGTATGACTAAGCATATCAGTGTAGAGCATGCTCAAACATCACTAATACTGGTCCATGTCTATTAGTTGTACCAAATATCTGGCCACAATAGAAACTTATGCCAGCCAGTCACTTTTATACCCTTAAAATCAGATGTCATAAAACTAAACCCAGTGTTACCATCTCATCTGCAATACTGCTCCCACACTGGAACAGTATATCTATTCTACCATGTCTTTCTGCTTCTGGAGTCACATGCTTGCCATCTTTATCCAAGCGCTGTTTGAAGAGATTATGCTCAACATCTAATTGTTGCTCTCCAGCCACATCCATTGCATCAATGCTCAAATCTGTAAGTAACAAACACAGACAGTTCCAAACCAATTTCTTGGGAGACAATTATAATATACAACATATCCATCAGGCCATTAACGAGAACACTGAAATTTTCTTGAAAACTATAGCAATTAGAAGACTGGGTAATCAAAAATCAATGTAGATCCATAATCACACTAGCTAAGATCTAAGGAAAGAATCCTGAATCAATACTAATATATGAGAATTGCTGAAAATCAAGAAAGGATGCATGCCACAGGTTAAAGAATATTTACATATATCTGACTATTATTTATGTCTTAACCCTTAAGAGTAGCACTTCCTTTTACCACTTCAATATTATTCCCTTGTAATCAGCATCCATCTTAACAGAATCACAGAATTGGATGGGACCTTGGAGGTCTTCTAGTCCAACCCCCCGCTCAGGCAGGAAACCCTGTATCATTTCAGACAAATGGCCATCCAATCTCTTCTTAAAAACTTCCAGTGTTGGAGCAACCACAACTTCTGGGGGCAAGTTATTTTACTGATTAATTGTTCTAATTGTCAGGAAATTTCTTCTTATTTCTAGGTTGGTTCTCTTCTTGATTAGTTTCCATCCATTCCATTCCATCCATTGTTCTGCTACCTTTGGGTGCTTTGGAAAATAGATGGACCGCTTCTTTGTTGCAGGCCCTTAGATATTGGAACCCTGCTATCATGTCAACCCTAGTCCTTCTTTTTGTTAAACTAGACATATCCAATTACTGCAAACATTTTTCATATGTTTTACCCTCCATATGTTTTAGCCAAATCATCTTTGTTGCTTTTCTCTGCACTTTTCTAGAGTCTTAATATAATATAATAACAAGGCATTATAAAATAGTACTAACACTTCATGTGATCTTGGTTTTATCTCTCCGTTAATGCAGCCTTGGACTGCACTGGCTTTTAAGTAAAATCTTACTTTTAAGATTTTATTTTTAATTTTAGGTAAAATCTTATTTTACTTTGCAGAGGTTCCAGACACTTGTTCCTAAGATTAATTAAAATATTATAAAATACTAAGTGAAGACAAGGGATGTCTATTTTTCCATCATTTCATTTAACTAAAAAGCAAAATTCAATACCCTTTACTCACAAGCACATGGCATATGTGGAAAAGCAATGTCTATATTTATCCGTAGCTTATCTCCCCTTGATTTATCAACATATAATTCTGGGTGAATCTAAAGATAAAAAAAAATAAACAAGCACAAAATCATTTGCAGATTAGACCCAAGCTACTTATAGGATCATTTATTCCCATACATTTTTATCGCCCTCTTAAATCAATGGGACACAATGGGATATGTTTCACATCAAGCACCAATTCAGATTTCACCATGACAGGGCCATTAGTTTCAATATCAAACTACATTAATTTTAATAAAAATGTAAAATACAATTAGAGCAATTTCCTCAGAAACATAGAACTATGTTTTTAAATATATTATTAAATGTATACTTTCTGCTTATATAAGTCCTCAAAACGGCCTATAATAACAAAATTTACGTTTTTAATTCCACTTGCAGAATGGTTTATTTGATCTACCTTTTATCTTTCTAGGCATCTTGTAGGATAAATTAGCCTGAAAGACATAGCTGCTATAGATTTCATAGGACAAGTAGGGAACTTTGAAACCATTTGGTAATATCTAATACAGTATCTGCTTCTAAAGAATATGTGAGAAATATGAAGGTTTATATTCAAAAATGTATATCCTAGGACAAGAAGTCTCATTTACCTCCTTTGTAAGATAGTACTGGAGCTCTGAGAAGAACAGGAAGAACATGATGAGTCCACTGATTACAGTCACTACATATGAAGAAAGGAAAGTTACATGTTGTCATATCTTAAAACGTATACATTTATCATTGTATTAACATTTAAGTATAGAAGCTGTAAAGTATTTATCTGGACAGATTAATGATCTACCTATACTGACAGTTTTTCTATAATTTCAAATAGATCTTTTCCCGTTCTACAGAAATACCAGAAATGTAGTACTCTGCGGGGGGAAAAAAAATCTATCACTGAATAAAAGCCATTTATATGTTATTGATTTTATTATAACTTCTTTGTTTTGAGCCACCCAAAACTGTTGAGAGTTGAGCAGCATACAAGTTTAATATATTTATTTATTTATTTAAATTTAAATGGCTGCCTAGTTCACTCACAGTGATTCTGAGTTACTTACAAGGCTTACAAATTATCATCATCATCATCATCTCCCTAACTATTTTTGCATGTTTCATGTACTATAAACGTATAGGATACCTCAGAGTCTAACCGGGGGTGGGGGGGCTCTGTAGGATTTCCCTGACAGGAAATGAAAATGCATACCTTTTAAGAAAATAACACTACAAGCATGTTTGGCTTGCTCAAGGAATCATGCAGGGAATCATCTGGAGGAACTGGCTAAGCCCTTTGCAATTCACCCAGTGCCTTCAGTTAAAATGCTCAGCACTGTAAAAAGACATGAAAATTTGAAGATTTCCCAGAAAACCAATCAGCCTCTATGTACTTGTTGAGAGAAAGGGATTCAGTATCATTTTTTTAATCTAAAACATAAAGGTATCTTTCTAGTCCATAAAAATGTAGCTAGAATAAGCAGTGGCTTAGGACAATTTAACAGTTGATTTAGGTACAACAAATTAGCAGACTATCCCCCCATACACACCTCTGAAAACTTTCTAAAAAAAGTTTGAATCAATATCAATTTTTGGAATGATGAAGCAACCCAAGAAATAATTACACTAACTAGTCGGGGACTGCAATATTATATAAATTGATTGACTTTTGCTATATACATGAAAAACAATTCCTGATATGAAGCTTTTTATATCTAAATATTAAATTCATAGAAAAAATGCATGCAAAAACATGTGAAAAATATATTTTGCACTCCAGCTGCATGTGGAAAAGTAACTGCCTGACGAAACTTCCTAATGCAGGATTGGTAAAACAAACATGTTTGTGTTATTCAGATGCAATATGGTGCAATGCTTTTACTACACCAATAAAATAAAAAAATCAGGAGGAAAAGTCCTTTCTTAGTTTTCAAGACCTTTAAAAAAGTGAAAAAATAAAATAGGTAATATTCATTTCTCTTCAATAATAAATTGTTAAATATTCATATACTAACAATCAGCCATTATTCTCACCATAATTTTTAAAAGCTATACAATAGAATATATATATTTTATATTATTATTTATAAGAGATTATTATATTTTTTGCATGCAAATGTTCATTCTCCATGGAAGACTGATATTTTCTTCCAAGAAGGATGCAAGCTTTCTTAAAGTCTTCCTTTCTCTTGTTTACTTTTGATCTTACAGACTGGTGAATGTGTTCTTATCCTCAAAGAGGTCCCAAAGGACAGGGCTGAACCTTGCCAGCAGCAGCAATCAACTTGCATTTTCAAAGGGATGTTTTAAAAGCTATGCATACATTTCATTTTTTCAGTTTCCAGGAAACTGCTTTAATTAAAATTTCTACTATTGTTACCTATCTATAAGCACATATTTAAAGGAGTGGTGCTGAATCCTGAGCAGTAAAAAATTCAGAAACACATACCTACTGTATGTAACAAATAAATAAAAAGCTTGGACAAACACAAGTGAAAAACAAATTATACAAAAGTACTATATAGCCAAAAAAATACTCCTAAAAGAGATTGTGTATTGATTCATATATATTTTTAAATATTTAATATAGTTTTGAGATGCTATATTTCAGAACATTTAAATTTTAAACAATCAATGGAATCACCAAAAAGCATCCATTCAGTATCTCTGCTAGATCAGTTCTGATTCTTTGTCTCAACTCTGTATTATTTTAAAAGAGCATGGATTACTGTACTTTAAAATAAGCAATGATAAAAAAAAGCCATTATAAGATAATTTGACTCCTTTTCCAGTCCTCAATAGAAGACATATTTTCTTGGAAAATTTTACTCAGTATTAAATGACAGGACATCTGGCAAAGGCTAAAAGATATACCGGTAAGCTTTAAAAAAATCTAATCTACCATATGGTTCTAAACTGGAGAAAGTACAATGAATAGATTTACTGATTCATAGGTTTACTGAATTTTTTTTCCCCCAAGAGAGTCAATAGTTCATTGGATTGCTACAAAAATCCATTTAGGTTCCTTACCAGCAAGTGGTACCAAAGCTGCACCAAGCAATCACTTCATAATCCTGGCTATTCTGTACATTCTTAAAGATTAATTTGCTAAAAAAATGGAAACAGTCAAGGCTGCATTTTCTTTAAACGATTTCCTCATACACATTCAATGCACATATAACAACATATACTGCCTTCTGAATTAATGCTGTTGCAGGCATTGAGAAAACGTCAGGTATGATAACGTAACACAGAAGAAAAATCACATTAAGTTCAGCCTCGATACTTTTCAATATGATCGCTACCGATCACCAAGCTGCGAAAAAATCCAACTTCACAAACAATGCACAAGACCAAAAGATAACAAATGAGCCAAGCTCTTTTCAGTTCACACATGAAACATTACGCTGATCTGTCTGCATGTGCAACACTATGCCTCAACTTAGGACCGCTTTAAACTAGCAGGGATCTCTCTGCAAGAGCAACCCCTCTTGTCTTCCTCCCGACAGTAGGACTACAGAGTCCTGTAGTCCTCGGGCAGCCGGCGGTCCCTCACCGAAAGCGCCGCCACAGGTCTTAACCCGAAAATCTTCCAGCGTCTTGGGGAAGGCATCGAACCGCTTCAGCCTCCAAAGCGACTCCATGATGGACACTCCCCCACCCACGAACCAGAAGACACGACGAACTTCCGGCCCTCGCCCCGCCCTCTGTGAGTTATCAAGGGGGTGGCGACAGGTATTGGCTTTTCTCAGAACTAAAATCCTGATTTCGGTGGGCGTTTCCTTCTCGTCGCCAAAACGGAGCAATTTTGAGGAGCTTGGGTGAATGATGTCTTGGGTTGCACAACAGCGAATCTTTTGTCTAACCTGGGTCTACGTGTGGAAACGTTCCATCATTTTGTTTCTAGTGGTCAGAGGTTTAGACGGGGGAGTTCGAATTAACCTTCAGGATGGTTATAAACCACCTTCTTTTTAATGATACCGCCAATTTATATATGAGATACCATACAGGTTTTTTTTGTCTTTGAGGATCTTCCATTTGCAACTCTCAAACAAGCCCCCAGAGATATTTATAGTGGTTTTTCATTCTAGACCCTGAAATACCTAGTTCAGTTACTAAGATGTGTACTGTATAGCTAGCTGAAGTTCTCTAATTGTAAAGAAGCAAAGGATTATTGAGAACAGATAATAAGCAACTATTGGCCACTAGTTGCAAGAAGTGGTGGCATAGATTATAAATATAATGAAGAAATAACCAACCGAGGGCTGCGTTTCTAGAATCTCAGAAAATTATTAATACATAATGTGGGTATGGAAAAATAGAATTATTGTTAGGGAAATACTATATTAGAGTATTATGAAATATATGTAATACCCAATAGAAAACTTTTGTACAAAATCCAGGATTTTTTAAAGTGCTCTTTTAAAAAAAAATAATCTGAGAAATATTTAAAATGAACTTCTGCAAGGCATTTGCCTAGTTATGTAAAGAATATGCAACATTTCTGCTTTTATTCTTCTGAATTAGTCCATTTGGGGGCTGAGCAATTTGAAGTATAAAATATATTAAACATTCCAGAGCTATCTAGGCCCTAACTATTAATTAAGTTTCAGTGACATTTTATACCTCACTGGGAATTAAATCTGAAACTGGAAAATACACATTTTGACCACAGTTCATGTTTCTGTAAATGTCCATAAGGTCTGTTCTATTCTCCCAATGCAGATCAAACAGCAAAATTGTGATTTACAAATTTAATTATGCAATTAAAACTTTTCAACATATTAATTTTTTTTAAAAAATGGGACTTTGCTAGCCATTAATCTATGATATTTTAATTTCACAGTAGTAATGATCCAATAGTAAAAAAGGGGAAAGGAACTTCTATGATTACTATTATCCTATGTTTACTCCTTGTTATTCAAAGTAGCAGGAGATACTTATTTAGCTGAAAGAGAACCATGTACTGTACCCAAGAACTGTCTGCTATATCCTTCCTATGAAAACAATGTCATTGTTCAATTCACTGATGCTTAAGATGTCAATATGTAGTTGATAAATCTCATATTTCATTGTTGAGCTTTTCCATGTTTATGCTTATTACATTCCATGTTCCTACTGCGATTCCCTTAACAATTTAGGATTTTCTTTTCTTGCCTGGCAGCATTAGTAACTAGAAGTTCTGAAGGCTTTTATCTAGCCATGTCATAAATACCATTAGTAATCCAAAAGAATCTCTGATTTTCCTCAGTAGTATGCTGAGTGCCATCCAACCTAAAGGGCCCATCATTCAGTACTACATTGTCAACCACTTGTCTGTTTTTGGTGTACTGTTGATTTCTTCCACATTATGGATGGTTGCTTTTACCATTGTCACTAAAGTGGTTATCTGCCTCCAGCATCTTCTGTATAGCTTCTGCCTGATATATGGATCTTCTTCCTTTAACTGGATAGCTGGGATGAGCTTCATACCTTGGCTGACTTTGCTGGGAGTATAAATATATGATGTATGTTATTGCTTCTTCACTCATCCTTTCCAGGAATCCTACCCCAACTCCTACCACAATACGTCAGCATAGCAGGATTTGAGGTAGAGCACAAGCCCATACTGGTATGTATTTAAAAAACCTTTTGAGCATTCCCTAAATTAACTATTTCATTGCCTGCCATATAATCTTTCTTTTAACAAGGCAGCATCTATTTATGCTTGCAGCTTTGTAACTATCCCTAAATCCTCTCCTGTTTAGAGTTAACCAAAAGCTTAGCTGGCAACTTTTCAGGCTTTTGCTCCTCTGGTCAAGTAGGAACAAACCCTTGAAATCTGGACCTCTCCTGTTTTCAGTAATCTTTCCTTTACCCTGGAACTCTTCAGTGGACTTAATTCACTCTGGAATCAGTAAATTTTCAATTTACTGAAACTGCCTAAATGCATCTTGGCTTCAGTAGCCTTTTTTCTTTCTCTCCAAAATGCTAGTGATAATTCCTCCTTTCTGTTAGGTCATCAGCCTGTTTTCACTTCCTGGTTTTAACGCATAAACTCCATTATGAATTGGTGTAGCTACTATACTTTCAGGAACAACTCTATGTAGTAGCAACCCATCTGTCTCATCATTCCAACAACTTTTTTTTTTGTAATCTCTTGAGTTTCATGAGGTGAAGGAGTCAGTTTTGCAGACATTTCTTCTTAGTTGTAACATCTAACTTAGTACTTTCAGTACAGGATTGGCCTTCTAGAAACTGGTAAAAGTGGATTACTGCACTTCCAGGGGATACTTGAGAACTGAAGAACTAAATTTATTACTTTGGTACTTATTTTTTATCTTCTATTTTAATTACAATGGTATGTGTCTTATATAGTCCTTGTTGACATAAACCTCCAGAGATTCTTGTAGATAATGGCTATGCATGCATATTATCTATCTATTTATATATATATATATACATACCACAATCTCAAAAAGCAGAAAAGCGTCATATGAAATATTTGAGCAAAGAAAGAAAAAATAAAATGCATTTTTATTATAAAAGAACTGTTTAGTACAAAATGTTATAAAAACCCTCTAGATATATCTTATACCAAATTGCTGTACAATAATTTAGGAAATGATATCACTATCAATAAGATTATTAAATCAAAATGACTTTAGATCGAGATTTCTCTCTCTGATCAAGTACTGTCCCATGTGTCTATACAAAAAAAGCGGGAAATCTTTTTAATGACTTTAGTTTTTTCAGGACTCTTTTCCTGGAATGAACTTCCATTCTTCCTATCAGAAATGGTTTCTTTGTTTAGTTCTAATACACTGGCTTTGAATTTTGTTATGTCCAAACATTTTCACACTGCGTATCTTCAGCCACTTAGTATGCAGCCTTTCAACTACTTTTGCTTTTTCTCAGGCTGTACTGAGATCTTCACTGATTCCAAAGAATCTGGAATTATATTTCTGAAGGATCAAAACTAGCAGATAGACCCTGGAAATCAAGGCTAGCTGAATATGAAGAAGGATCCATCATACCAACAACTTTTTGAACTCTGCTTGTGCTGGAGCCTCTGTAATTTCTTGCTTTTGCCACTCCTGTGCTACCTTGTGGGCTTCTGATGAACACTTTTTGGTGTTGAGCTTGCCATATGTTTTCCAGATAAGACACTGTCTGAGACTACAGTTCTCCATGTCAAGCTGTTATTCAATGTTTCATCAAGCTTGCGAGTCTCTGATTCCAGAACAGTTGCCTCAGGTTTCCTAGCCACAACAGCTAAAGAGTTTACAAGCTCTTGATGTAAATCTGAAAGCTCTTGATTTGTTTTGGTACAGCTGATGATATAATTCTGCTTCTGCTTCCGTTCTAGTGATAGCTGTGATTGTAGAACAAAAACCTAAAACAAGAACAAATGACATCAAGGACTAATGAATTATTTCCCTTTGAAGAACTTAATTTCTAATTTTCAGCACAAGGAACAGTATCTTATGTAAAATAAAACTGTTAGATTTATTATTTAACATATTTAATATTACTAATAAATTCTGAGAAAATGTTATGTGATCACTAATAATCAGCACTGACTTGATGGTGCACAATTAACATTTTTTCATAGCAATGCATTGTGCATTTAACAGCAAAAACAGTGAATCATTCAAATGACATGGATAAAAATATTTTGAATTTTTTTTTAAAAAAATCAGAATTTCTTAGAGAAGTACAAAATGATTTTGAAGATAAAATGTCCCAAACTGTTCTGATTGGGATTTTCTACTTTAAACTGTCCTTTAAGATCATTGCTTACAAAGATTATTGTGAATCTTTAAAAATGCAGTTACTATGGAGATGCAGCTCTCCAACAATGGAAGGTAAGAAAAGCAGTTCTAAGAGACGTAGTTCCAATTATAAACTACACACCTGTTTTCGTAACTCTGCCAGTTGCTTTTGGAGAACCTGGGTTTCTTTCTAGAGAAAAAGAGAGAGAAAACTCAATCAGCTACTTATCTTCAAGAAGTCTATTATTTACGAAAATTATTTATATAGCTTAGATTTTCTTTCAATTATTCAGGTTCAACCCAACAATTATAAACTTTAGTTAAACATAAAAGTAAAGGTTTCCCCTGTCCAAACATTTCCAAGTCTAGGGGGCAGTGCTCATTTCTGTTTCTCAGCCAAGGGAGGCAGCATTATTCAAAGACATTTCTGTGGTCATGTAGCCAGCATGTCTAAACATTGAGGTGCACAGAATGCTGTTACCTTTCCACCAAAGTGGTACCTATTTATCTACTTGCCTTTGCATGCTTTCATACTACTAGTTGGGCAAGAGCTGGGGCAAGTAATGGGAGCTTACTCTTCGTGCGGTGCTCGGGTCTTGAACCCGAGCGGTCTGCTTTCCAGATGACAAGCTCAGCAGTCTTTAATTGCTGAGCTATCGCGCCCCTAGTTAAACATAATACTATCTAAAAGCAAAAGGGAAGGAAATAATGGATAGTTTTAAGTGCAACTTCCGATAATAAAATATGCAAGCCCTTTAGAGCAGGGATCCAGGATATCTGAGGAACTGTCTCACCCCAAAGAAACTAGCCTGCTCCACCCATGCTGGCAGAAGGGGCATGCGTCAGATCCCATCATTAAGGAATTTGGGATGGCAGGGTCCAG